GAAAGGGCGGCGCGAGCGCCGAGACCTCAGAGAGCCGACGAGGCGCAGGCCAACGGGCGGGGCAAGGTGCCACGGGGGAGCGGCTGCGCCCAGAACGCCAGGAGCGGGCGACTGCGGATGGGAGGCCCGAAGACCAGGCGAGGGGGGCAAGACATTGGGCAGGGCAGCGAGCGGCCGGCGCAGGGCACGGCGAGGGCCCGGAGGGTGCCACGGGCAGCGCCCGCACAGAATGTGCGGGAGGCCGGCGAGCCCCAGGCCAGAGCGGGGGGCTGCAGCGGCAGGGCAGCGGGAGGGGCCCGAAGGCCACGAGCGGGCGGCAAGGCCAGCCCACCGCGGCGCAGGGCACGCCCCGGCGCGGGGCGACCCAGGGCGGCAGCCGAGCAGCCAAGGGCAACCCAGAGTGCCGGCGGGAGGCCCCCGCGGAACGAAAGCAGGTGGCTCTCTTGGGCCCTCTCGGTCGTCTGGGGAGTCTCTTGGGGCTCTCAGTGGGTCCTTGTTTGGGCCCTGCGAGACCGCAAGTTTTGCGATCGTGGACCACAGAACGTGGAAAGCGAAACGAATTGGAAAGTCCTATCGAACTTCAGTGCGTTGGGCTTCTCGAGATAGTCCTGGAGAGAGTATCGGGGGTTGCTGTGGGGTCTCTTGGAGGCTTCTTGAGACGTGTTGGGCGCTTCTGAGGGTCTCTTGGGTAAGTATTAGGGCGGTCCACGATCATCGTGACGGCCTCGGTGGACTTCTGGACTGTCTTGAAAGCCTCGGAGAGCGTTGGAGAGCCCCATGGACACGTTGGGACGCCCGGGGAGCCTTGGGAAAGGGTGGGGGCGATGCATGCACCACTGTAATGAAGGGGGGGCTAAAAGATTACACAAACCCTACCTGGGCACTTGGCATTCTAACGCGCCTCAACGTGCCTGGGCACGTTGGCGGAATTTGCACCCAGCATGTTGCATTCCATGGGTTTCTTTCCCTCGCCCCATGTTTTGCATTCTGGAAGTTACACGCTGTAAGTTGCATCGCATCAGCTACGCCGCTCAACGTCTGAATAATCCGAGTTACGGGGCCCACGAGCAAGTATCACTCTGCTCTCTGATTGAGAGACTTGCAAGACGGTTGGAAACGGCGGCACCCTAAATAGCGTTTGCATCGAAGGGGCTCTTATGTTTGAGGCTCTAGATTGTTTTATACCGTCGCGGCCACGTTCCTTGTTTCCGCCCTGCCACCGACTGTCCCTCACACCCTGGTGCCCGCTCTTCGCCACTGCCAATTTCTCTCGTCGTGCCTGGCTCTCCCCGGCCAGCGGGACTGCATGTGTCCTCCGCTGCCCCCAACCTCGGCATCTGCTTTCTGCCGCCGCTACTTTGCGTTGGCCCGCGCACGACTGCCCCCGACCTCGGCGCCCTCCGTCCGCCGCAGCCAGCTTCCCTCTTGCGGCCTCGTCCCCCGGGGTGCCTCCAGCCCTGGCGATCGCCCCCCGCCGCTGCCGCTGCTGCTGGGGATGGACCCTGACCCTGGAGCTTGCCCTCCGCGACCGGCAGCTGTCTTCTGCCCGCCGAGCCTCGTGCATTCGGTACGCATTTGAGCAAACCTGAGGAGCCGGATGATATTGAGGAAGGAAAGCAACAACAAAAAACAAAAAAAAAAAAAAAAAAAAAAAAAAAAAAAAAAAAAAAAAAAAACGTGTTCGCTGCGCCATCGCCACTTCTCCTCCGTCGGCCGCCCCCTCTGGCCCCCGGCCCTGCTACTTGCCCTCCTTCGCCGCCAGTCTGTTTCGGTCGGCCCTGTCCCCACCCCCCCCCTGGTGCACGCCCCCCGCCGCAGCCAAAGCCCTTCCCATCGTCCCCGCCCGACGCCCGACTCTGACGCGTGCCGCCCGCCGCTTCCAAGTTCCTTCGTCGACCCTGCTCCGGACTATCTTCTGCACTGGTGCATGCTCTCCCCGCCACAGTCCACTCCTTTCCACCTGTCCCGACTGGCCTCGACTTGCGTGATTGCTGCTCTCCCGCAACAAGTGTCTTTGGCTCGGCCCTGTCCTCGATTGGCCCCCACACTGGTGTTTGTCCTCCGCCGCCGCCACTCTCTTTCTTTCGACATACTGGCCTACTGTCCCTGGCTCTGAGAGGTGCCCTCTGCTGCCTTCGAATTCTCTCGTTCCGTTTGTTTACCCAATTGTCCCCGATCCTGGCGCATGCCCAGCGACGCCGTCAATTTCCCCTGTGCTTTTATCATGGCCCGATTGTTATTTTGCGACGCTACGCAGCAATCACACCAGGCCTGCCCCATTGGCTTGTTCCTAGCACGCGTGTTGCAAACATAGCTCTAATGCAGGACGCACTTCTTTCTTGCACTCGAAGTTTGGCAAGCCTCCGCACACGCTGCGGCGCACCAATCTATATGATGTTTCCAGTGGCGCAGCCCCAATTGCTTGATCATCCAGTGCATGCGTGCGTTGCGAAAGACTCCGCCATGTTTCTCACCGCTCGCCGATCAACGGTACATCCGCAGCCGTGTTTTTTCGAGCCTCTGCATGGGAAGGCAGAGGCGGCCATGGGCTTGCGCGCCTGACCCGCCGCGGGAAGCCGAGCCGCCTCGCATGTGCTCTGGAGGGGCAGGGGGAGCGGGGAGGGGAAGAGACAGGGGAGCGGGAGGAGAATTGGAGGAGAGGGATAGGGGAAGGGGAACGTGGGGAGCAACAGGGAAAATTGCCAGGCCCCGAGCAAGGAGGTCGGAGGCCGCCACCGCAAGAGCTCAGCGCGCGAACGAGTCTCGAGCTGGGAGCAGCGCGAGAGTAGAGCATGGGTCTGCCACTTCACCCCTCCGATTGTTCCACTTCGATCCACTTCGTGCAGCTCAGGCGGTCATCCACATACAGTTGCTGGGAGTGGCTCTGTGGCGCGCCAAGCCACACCTCCTCCTCCACATTCTCCTCCTCCTCATGTTCCTCCTCATCCTCCTCCTCGTCGTCCTCCTCCTCCTCCTCCTCCTCCTCCTCCTCCTCCTCCTCCTCCTCCTTCCTCATCCTCCATCGCAGGATGCATTCTCCGTCGGGGATGAAGTGTAGACCGCTAGTGCGTGGATCGATTCCATAACATTCCAGGGATTAGCCGCCGCCCACTTCCTTACGCAGCCCTCTTCTGGATCGCCATTGCCTTCGCTGGCGTGGTGCCTTCTCTCGCGCCTGGCAACCTGGCAATATGGCCGCAGCCGCCCCGCGGGACGCTGATATGGCAGCGGAAGCCGAAACCGATTGCGTTGGATCAGGTTCCACCATTGGCAGTGTTGAATTCGAGATCGAATTGGTAGCTGCAGCGGCCCAGACCATCCTCACCCACGACGTCATCGGCGATAGCAACACCATGATCGCCCCGGAATGTTGGACGCTCATCAGGATGTCGTGACCGATAGGTTGTGAACGTCCCGACCCATTTCAACGTGCTGATCCATGGGGTGGTGCCGCAGACCAGTAGACCGAGGCCAGCATGCTGGGCCTGTTGGTTGTTCCGCGCATCGCAGTGGGGGGGTACGCTGACACCGCGACCGAGACCGAGGCCGTCGTGGAGGTTGTAACGTTGTTGCCGCCGCTGGAGGTGTAGCCCTGCCTGGACCCGTTGTGTACCTTGCTGAGGGCATGAGCCCGAACGCCCCCCCCCCCCAAAAAAAACAGCCTCCGCCAAGGTTGCCGCGCACGAGGGTACGCTCGAGGATTTGCCGTCATCGTCGCTCGAGGATTAGGCCCTCCGACGCTATCATCACGAAGAGGCCAGGGAGTTGGGGCAACGTTGGGGCCTTCCGCTGTCCCTGGACGTGCTGCTGGCGTCATTGCAGTTGCCGCCCCATCGCAGACATTTGGGGTCATAGATCGACCGCCCGCAGATACAAGTGGAGGCGCTCTTCATCCTCGTCCTACTCCCCCACACGCTGGCGGGCCTGCCAGTTCAACATCTTCCAGTAGTTATCGAGCAACGTCAATCCTCACCATGCAAATCCCCCGCGATATCATTGCCCGCACCCTCGCCGAGTCCATTCGCCATGTTGAAGGCAGCACATCTCGCCGTGTGGACGCCGCAGAACAGAAGTTCATGAAGTTACGCCAGCGGGTCACCAACAGCGAGCAGGCTCACAAGGAGACGGCTGCCAGCGTCGCCGAGATCCAGCGCCCGTTCGCCATCGCCGAAGCACAAATCCCGCCGTCGCTCCCGCCGACTGCGATCGGAAGCCCGACTGCTCGCCCACGCGACCGAGCGCCCCGAGCGCCCCGAGCTGGTTGACCGTCAGGCCGTCTGCAGCGGCATCTTCAGCTGTGTCACAGCGGGGGGGCTGGAGCACAACATTGCCTTTCTCATCAGTGACGACCCGTCGAAGCAGCTCGAGCTACAAATGCCTGGAGGAGTGGAGCTCGCAGGACCTCGGTTCACGGCGCTTGCTAGGTGCCTCCACTTGCATGCAGGAAGTTCTTCGCCGCCGCCGTCACCGGAAATGCTGTCAATGTTGCATGCGCGCGCTGACCGCAACCCGAAGCAGGCTCGTGCTGAAATTCCAACTCGTCGCCTTCACCCAACACGGACAGCTCCAATTCCTCAGAAGCAGCTCCAGCATCGCAATCCAATTGGGCGGCGCGCCTACGATGGGGCACGTCTGATGCGTCTGATCGACGGAGGGTCGCCCGATGCACCCCCGCGGCTGGCATGGGGCAAAGCTCTGGCAGCGCAGCACGGCATCGACGCGGACCAGATGGATTTCGCATTCACCGCGTTCCTCGTCGGAGGCAGAGGCATATCGCGGGGGCAACAGCATCTCTACCACCTGGATTCTAGCGAGCCCATCTTCGCGCGGGCCCCACATCGCCTCGTGGAAAATGCCCGCGGCCTCGCCTGCGTCAATCACCGCCGCCAGCGAAGGAAGACTGCCACCCTCCTCACCTACCCCAAGCAGAGCGGCATCGCGGCGGTCGAGGAGGTCGATGGCTCGGCCCAACGACCCCGCAGGCTCGTCGCATCCACGGGGTGGTGCCGCAGACCAGTTTACCGAGGCCAGCAGGCTGGAATTTTTCCCAACCATCCTGTGGTGTTGGGTCCTCGTTTTGAAGAGACGGTGCCCCGCGTTCTCCTTCCTTCCTTCCTCCCGCTGCCTCCTCCCCCCTCCCATCATCATCATCATCATCAACACCCATTTCGGCACACCCCTCACACGTTTCGTGGCTCCATAGGGAGCTCCACCGAAGGCCCCAGTGCCCGCGGCCGCATGCGTCCCCCACACCCATTTCGGCACACCCCTCACACGTTTCGTGGCTCCATAGGGAGCTCCACCGAAGGCCCCAGTGCCCGCGGCCGCATGCGTCCCCCACACCCATTTCGGCACACCCCTCACACGTTTCGTGGCTCCATAGGGAGCTCCACCGAAGGCCCCAGTGCCCGCGGCCGCATGCGTCCCCCACACCCATTTCGGCACACCCCTCACACGTTTCGTGGCTCCATAGGGAGCTCCACCGAAGGCCCCAGTGCCCGCGGCCGCATGCGTCCCCCACACCCATTTCGGCACACCCCTCACACGTTTCGTGGCTCCATAGGGAGCTCCACCGAAGGCCCCAGTGCCCGCGGCCGCATGCGTCCCCCACACCCATTTCGGCACACCCCTCACACGTTTCGTGGCTCCATAGGGAGCTCCACCGAAGGCCCCAGTGCCCGCGGCCGCATGCGTCCCCCACACCCATTTCGGCACACCCCTCACACGTTTCGTGGCTCCATAGGGAGCTCCACCGAAGGCCCCAGTGCCCGCGGCCGCATGCGTCCCCCACACCCATTTCGGCACACCCCTCACACGTTTCGTGGCTCCATAGGGAGCTCCACCGAAGGCCCCAGTGCCCGCGGCCGCATGCGTCCCCCACACCCATTTCGGCACACCCCTCACACGTTTCGTGGCTCCATAGGGAGCTCCACCGAAGGCCCCAGTGCCCGCGGCCGCATGCGTCCCCCACACCCATTTCGGCACACCCCTCACACGTTTCGTGGCTCCATAGGGAGCTCCACCGAAGGCCCCAGTGCCCGCGGCCGCATGCGTCCCCCACACCCATTTCGGCACACCCCTCACACGTTTCGTGGCTCCATAGGGAGCTCCACCGAAGGCCCCAGTGCCCGCGGCCGCATGCGTCCCCCACACCCATTTCGGCACACCCCTCACACGTTTCGTGGCTCCATAGGGAGCTCCACCGAAGGCCCCAGTGCCCGCGGCCGCATGCGTCCCCCACACCCATTTCGGCACACCCCTCACACGTTTCGTGGCTCCATAGGGAGCTCCACCGAAGGCCCCAGTGCCCGCGGCCGCATGCGTCCCCCACACCCATTTCGGCACACCCCTCACACGTTTCGTGGCTCCATAGGGAGCTCCACCGAAGGCCCCAGTGCCCGCGGCCGCATGCGTCCCCCACACCCATTTCGGCACACCCCTCACACGTTTCGTGGCTCCATAGGGAGCTCCACCGAAGGCCCCAGTGCCCGCGGCCGCATGCGTCACCCACACCCATTTCGGCACACCCCTCACACGCTTCGCGGCTCCATAAGGAGCTCCACCGAAGGCCTCAGTGCCGCCGCCCGCATGCGTCACCCCCGCCCATTTCGGCACACCCCCCGCATTTCTCGCACGGCAGGGTCATCACCACGGTGGCGTGCCAGGGGCGCACCATGCGCGAAGGCGACGGGGCGGGGGAACGGCGCTCCGGGGGCGGCCAGACCTCCGGGGCGCGAGCAGTCCGCGGCCAGACCATCTCTCGGTCCTGTGGACTCTCGCCCTGGGCCGTCGGCTGCCCGGCGCGCTGCTCCCTCGGTCGACGTCGCCCAGGCGTGATCCTGGATTGCGGCCGCCACGAGGTAGGGAACGGCAAGAAGGAGGACGACGACTGGTGGCTGGAGCTCTACGCGCTGCTCTCGCGCGCCACGCGCCACGAGGACCTCCTGCTCATGCGGGCGCCGCGCATCGAGTTCTTCCTGGCAGGGCCGCCGCAGGGCTTGCGGAAGCAGCTGGAGCAGTTTGCGGCGCGCACGAAGCGGCGCAGGAGGGAAGCGACGGCCCTCGCCAGGGAGCTCGGCTTCACCGAGTTCATCCGCGAGGCCTGACCTGAGGAGCGTCTCCCCCGAGCCGCGCCTTCTCTCGACTGCCCGACTAATTGTTTGGCCTCGCGCCGCGGACGACCCGCGCGCGTCGCTGGGACCCTCTCGGGGCGACCAGCGCGCGTCGCGGGAACTCCGTGCTGCGGGGGGCCCGGCGCCTCGTTCGCCCGTCGTCGCTCTGCCCAGCGGTCAGAGACTTGCCCGCTATCAGCCAGCCAGTTAGCTAGTCAGCTCTCTCTGCTTCGCGCAGCGGACGACCCGCGCGCGTCGCTGGGACCCCGCCCGGGGCGACCAGCGCGCGTCGCGGGGACTCCGCGCTGCGCTGCGCCCGCAGCCTTGGATTTTGGAGTGCGCGGGCAAAGAGGAAGGAAAAGAAGAGCCGAAAGCGGGCGCGATCCTCGCAAGAGGCGTGCCGACATGGGCGTCGCGACGTGCGGACGCTGCCGTCGGGGTTCCCGCGGAAGCTGCCTGCGGCGGCCACGCCCAGTGTCACGTGTGTTCGGAC